TGTGTTGTGCAGCTGGTCTGGTCTGTCTCTAGACAGTTCAGGCTGCACCCACTAGTTCAATGGTGGAGGCTCACAGCAACATACTCAACACAGAAGTTTCTGAACTCTGCATGAGGGTTTCTCCGACGAAGTGAGGGCCGTGAGGCACAGCTCCCCGTCCCCCGGTGACCCTGCTAGGTCCACCTTCTTAGGGAAACCCTCTGCAGAGGAGCTGACAGAGCCAGGAACTTGTGAGTTGTGTGTGTCCACTCAGGCATCATTCATGCTTGTTCTGTAGGCAGTTCCTGTCAGAAGGAGGAGGCGCAGCAGGAGCATCGGGGGGCGGAAGACGGTGCCTCAGTGCCTCTCTCCTTCTGACATTGTTAAAGAAAACACAACAAATTTATAATTATTTATAACATAAACGAGGGAGCGCTGTTTACAGATACTGAGAAGTATAAAATCTGAATCCTTTCTCTCGTTTGCTCTGAGGCGCGGGGGGGAAATATCGACAAGTCGATCAACATCATCTACAGATACATTCGACATCTCGAAAAATGTAAATTGCCACTTGATTCGTCCATTTGGTTGAAAAACCCGACCGTGAACAAGGAGCGAATATCACACCGGAAACTAAGCGCTATGCGCCGGAAGTAGCATATGCTAAGGCGCACACAGGTCTAAGTTATAGGTCTAAGTTCCCCATAATGCACTGGGTGTTTCTTCTTCACTCAACATGTGTTAGTAGGCCTCTCTGCATTCAGCCCGTCTGCCCCTCATCTATCGATGGATGTTTGTTAGAGGCTTTGGTTCCCACTGTCGCTCACAGACGGTCACCTAATGTTTCCCTGTGTAACTGCAGGGTCTTTGCCTTATAACATAGAAGTAGCTTGAGGTAACTGTTGTTATGATTTGATGCTGTGTGTGTGTAATAAAGCTCCCTTACTGACAGTGGGTCACCACAGCTTGTAGCTCCATGTATTTGATGTGGCACGTTTGCCCTCGCTGACACAACCCTAAAGGGATTTGTGTGTATGAATAAAGTTTATTGTTCATACAGTTCATTGCCGTATGTCTATGAAAGGCTGAATGAGGGTTGTAGCTCCCTCAGCAGCTGTGGAGCGATGGCTCGTGGTCACCTGATTCAGCCCTGGAGATGTGGTTGGTTAGACACGCTGCTTTAGTTGGACACTACAAACCACACTCACCTGTTTACACAAACACATACACACCTTTTGTGTTACAACCACCTTGTTACACTCAAACACCAGATGATGCATCTGAGCCAACTAAGGATTCACTGAGACTGAAGCTCGAGATCATAAGAATTTGAGGCTCAGCTGATACAGTATCATAGGACAATCCAACCATTGTATGTCAAGAGACTATAGGCAGTAAAAGCTCCATCTGGAGGAGGAACGACGTGGTTCAGAGCGTTGCCTCCTGCAGCTGGTGACATGTTCAGATTTCAGCTCTGTCGGTTAGAAAGTCTGTTTTTGTTTTTCATCTGTGTGTTGCTCTTTCATCCTTTTGTTCTTCCTCTTTCTTGCATCAAGCTGGCTGACTTCACCACTGATGAGGTAACCATGAGCAGTAAGCCTCGTGTCGATCACAGGTACATTTAACATAGTGCGATAAACACACTCAGTCATTATAAGGTACATCCTCTAAAGGTTCACATAACAGACAAACAGGATAATAAAAATAATCTGGTTCTCTGCAGCGTCCTCAGATGAACAACACACAACATTATTAGACGTCTCAGTATTTGTTACACTGAACACAATATAAACACAACACTTTTGTTTCCATGAGCTGAACCGGATCCTGACTGGTTTTGCGACATATGTGTCATTGTGCTACACATGTACGGCATATTTCAGAGTGGCCTTTTATTGTGGGCAGTCTCAGACACACCTGTGCAATATTCATGCTGTCTAATCAGCACCTTGACATGCCACACCTCACAGGTGTGGCATGTTAGACTACTTTTAATTAACTGCTTCAGCCCACTTACAATGAAAATGTAACAAAAAATCTTGTTCCTGACCTGTGCAGTATGTTAACACTATTGGAAGTAAAAATAACTCTAATTTTGAAAACACAACTTTCTTTCTTTCTTTTTTTTTTAATAAAGCTCTGACTTGTATTATGAGTCTGTGGTCTGGGAGAGAGTCTGTAACTCTGTCTGCAAAATACAGGATATAATGACCAATGTTGGGCAATTAATTATATAGTTACTTCTTCAAAAAAGTAACCGAGTTATGCAAACAAAGTTTTTTGCAGCTGTTTACCTAAAAATGTAGCCAAGGCGTTTTTTAATTAAACATTTCAAACTATTTACAGAACAATCAGCTGTTCTGCATCAAATCTGATGCCACACAAATTATTTGTGCCACTCCAAAAAATAATTTGTGTCCACTATGAGATGAAGGAGAACAACAGCCTGATACCTGCAGGACAACAGCAGATGTATCACTGCTGTAACACCTGTAACATTCAGCAGTCGCCTCATTGTTCTGACACACACAACAAAACTGCTGACTACACTACACACTCACTACATAAGATTTGCGCTAAACGTCGCAAATCTCTCACATCTCCAAGCACCGCCGTCACTCCTAAAACTTCCTCCCGTTTCTAACCCTTGCCATATAATTTTTGATTGGTCCACATGGTACATTTTTCCACCAATAGGAAAGGGTGGTGGGGTGTTGTTTTTGCTCACAGGCTTTCGAGCGTTTTCCTTATAAAACGGCGTTTTCACCGTTTCTTCCCGCAGTAAATATAAACAACGACAGTATTCAGGAAGAAAACCAAACATTGCAGATATTTTTATCATAACTCTGGTTGTACGCGGCCGATCAACACAATTTAAAAACTGGTATAAAGTCCACACTTTTCCCGTCAGTTGTTCCGTCGGTCCTGCTCACATCTCCAATGGTTGTACACGTTGTCATTAACGTGGCTTCACTCCACATCAGCCGCTTTGCTAAAACACCGGTGTCGGCGCATAAGGACGCGTCAGAGCCTGACAGCGACGTTGATTAGCTGCGTATATACGAATGTGAATCGCGTGATTGGCTGGACTACGGGATAAGGTGGCCTCGTTCTAATCCTATACGGGAGCAGCCAGTCACTGACTAACACTGCAAAACAGGATTGTTAAAGTTTTCATTTTAATTTCAATTCAGGTGAATTTTTTTTTTTTTTTTTTTTTGTGCGCGCAACGCAGATTTTCTGTGCAGAGACCGTGCCAGCAGTGCGCAATTGTGTACGCGCGCAGCTTAGAGGGAACATTGCTTGCGAGTGTCGGGTCTTTTGTGTTTGTAGAAAATGTTTCATATCTCTGAGTTCAGCTCATGGAAAACAGGAGCAAAAGCAAAAGTGTTGCGTTTATATTTTTGTTCAGTGTAAATGATAAAACATCAGGTTTGACCCAGAATACAGTTTGGTCCACATGGTGGCGCTGTGAAAAGTGCGCGCTGTACTGGTGGCACCAGTGTCCCCAGCCCACAGACCAGTGCTGCCACTAATCGAGTTTCATTAGCAGCATCTAAATGCTGTTTAAAGGTGGACTTCATCTGTCACACAGGAGCAGTTTGGCTTCGCTTTGCTTAAATAATGACCTGGTGTATTTCTGTATACACACCTGCTAAGGATCAGGTGACTTTTATAATAAAAGGTTAATACGTGAAACCTTAAAAATAAAAAGAGCTGTTTTTAGCAGTATTTAGGCTGCAGTCTGTGTATTATGTCCATGATATTCTACATTACAGTAAAAACAGTAATTATATAAAGAACAGATGGATCAGGATCCTGTCTGTGTCTTTACTATGATCTCAGCTGATAATGAGGCTTGAAAGAGACATGTTTGAACTTTTGCATTGATCAGACAAATAAGCCTGCATGTTTGCATGAGCTTTACCTTTAACTGTAAAACATGAAGCCTTTATTATTAAAAAACAAAACCCTTTTGGTGTCATACGGGTAAGAAAGCAGCGAAGCGTTTTTCTCTCTAACAGACCTTTCATCTGTTTTCTCTGCCGTTGCTCTGATGGGACCTGCAGGGTGTTTTTGGTGACGTGGAGGTTTGCACAGTTGCTGCCTGTGGTGTGTGTAGAAATGTTCATGTTCTAGTCCCACTGTGAAGCACATAGACGTGTCCTGACTTCCTGTCTGTCCCACACTCTGTTGTCTCTGTTTGTTGCTGCCAACAGTACAAGTCATCTTTGCAGATTTTACTGAATTAACAAAAACATTTTTACTGAAAGACTTATTCAGTAAACACGTTTGTTACACTGAGACTGAAAAGAGATCCCTGTTTACGCTCATAGAAAACGAGCCTCTGTTTTACTTTATTGAAATCATTTCTAATCACAGACAGGATCAGCAGCGTGCAGCTGCAGTGAGGTGTTAGTAGAGGAGCTGTGTTTGTGAGCTGTAGTCTGGATCAGGTCTCTGTGGGAGACTCGGGTTACAGTACTTCTGAATATCACACAGCACATTTCTTCAGAATCGGTTGCTGTTTGCTAACATTTGACCTTTGCCCTTTTAGGCTGCCCTTCTGGCGCCCGTCGATGAGGACTTGGGATCTGACAAGAAGCAAACTGGGGGAAGCAGCAGAGTACCAGACTTCCCTCCTCCAGCAGGCCGGGAGATCTTGTTGCGCACCTGTGTGCCGCGACCAGCAGCGTACTCCAAGGCGCTGCCTCAGCGGCTCTTCTGTGTCCTGATGAGGGAGGAGTTTAGGTTGGCCGGAGCCTTTTCCACAGACACGTCCTTCTTTTAAGTCCTGTGAACAATTCACACCTGGGATAAAGATAAGTGAAGGACACAGGATGGAGACTTTCACATAAAACAATAAAGCTGAATTGAACTAAAGTGAATAATTTGAAAATGACTCAGTGTTTTATCAGCGACACGTTACCGCAGCCTTTTAAGATCACTGAACCTGTTACTTCAAAAACAACATGTAATGTTGAAGGGGACAAAGAGTTAGTTCATGTTTGACACTGATGTTAATCAAAACTTCCAAGATCCAGGTTGAATAAAACAGCATTAGGTGTGTGATTTCACTCTGCTCCACACACCTGCGTGCTCCAATCAGAGACACCAGAGGAACAGGTGATGAATGTGATGGGGAAGCATACGCAGGTGTGACATACAGAGCCGTGGGAATTACAGGACATTATTACTGTTGATATATTCTCAGCGATCAGCTGTTAGTGAAGAGCATGAAAACCTTACTGCACGTCGGTCAGCTCAACTTAGCTCGCTGGATAATTTACTTGTCAGCTTGAAAACATTTAACTTTAACAAAATGTTCACCAACACGGGTCAGTGTAGGTCACTGAGTCATCCTGCACACTAGCCCTGCCCCGCCCACCTGTGTTTATACACCTCTGCAGCCCCTCCTCCTTCAGCCGGGACATTTGTTCTAGCCTTCATTCATAAACTCGGCTTTCTAACATGCAGCTAAAGTTCAGTCTGCATGCTCGACCCACATACTCCTGGTAGCTGAAGTGAAATACTGCTGTGCGTAAGGGTCGGGCGGGTGACCACGTCACCTGGTCATGGGGTAAATGCTGCGGCCGGGTTCAACTCTGACCTGAGGCCCTTTATTTCTCCCTCCCTGCTTTGCTGTCTGGTCTTCATTGTGCTATTAAATACAGACAAAAAAGTTTGTTCTCCTCCTTCCATCACCACCTTTGTTGCATGTAGAAAAGTGTCATATAGAACCAGTCGTTACTTTAATGGTCTGAACTAAACGGTCGGGTGGCGCCAACAGCGACTAAGAATTTTCTGGGCCAACAGGATTTGTGTTTCAGTCCCTGATAAACTGACCCATCCTCTAAAAAACAAAACCCAAAAACTATATTTACAAGATAAATGATCAGAAATAGTAACGACAACAAAAGCACAGGAATCATAGATCCAACGGGACAGGCTCGTTACAATGAAGGAAAACACTGAGCGACTGTTGAGGCCCTTATTAGTCCTACAAAACATAACAGAAATGTTACAATAAAACACAGAGGCCTTTATTGTCACGTCCATCGTACTGTGACTCCTCAGCACATTCATCTCCAATCAGCAGCTTCCTTCACTGACCCAATCACAGGTCTCAGGCCAGCTGTTGTACTCAGGTTTGGATTATTTGCTGAGGTTTTAGATCTCTGGACCAAAGCCTTTAAAAGGAAACAGTTTCTCAGAGGTTACATCAGTAAATATGATCTCACTGTTACAGTGATCATTCACATCTCTGATTAACCTCTGAAGAGACACATTTGGTCCTTAGCGACGCCTCTGTCACAGGCGTCTGTCAGAACAACAGCGTGTGTTTGACACAGTCCATCATGAAGAGAAGCAGTTTTTCTTCTGAATTAGTGAAATAACTGGTCTGTAAATTACAGTAACACGAGTGTCATTGTTAAAACACAGTTTATGAAACACTTAATTTGTTGTTAACTTATTGACAACGTAAACATTTGCTGGTTGCCACTGTAACTGATGACTGTGTGGTCACATGACTGAAAAGTAAACAAATATCACAAAATAAAGAAATGCCTCCAACTTGTGTTACGAGTAGTTAGTGTGCAGAAACACGGCTGCAGGGTCAGCCCTCCCTCCACAGTCGCTCATCAGGCTGGTCGCAGCGCGTTTGCCTGTCTACTGATGTCTGCATGAGCAGAAACACCAATTTGAGTGATGTTATGTAATTCAGGATTCAATCAATGTGTCAGTGTTTGTTACTTTGTTACATTAATTTTTTAACCACGTTATTTTGTTGTGGGATGAACTTCTGCAAACAACAACATATGGCAACAAAAAACAAAACTTGCAGTTGGAATCGATGGAGCTGTGAGATGATGGGATGTCGACTGGTTCACTAACCATTAACATTTGGGATATTAGGATAACAGTAGCGTGTAAACATAAGCAGTGCAAACACTTCCTATAACGACACATTTACAGTCTAGTTTGGGGAAAGCTGAGGAATTAGGGTGAAGAGACGGTGGATGTTTAACCCTCCCTTGGTTTGACAGCTCGCTCAGCCAGCGAGTTATGAATGATGTTCTTGATAGACTCCGCCCCCGCGCCTTCTAGGAAAGTGTGGTGATCTCCCTTGATGACGTGGACCGACACCTCGCCATCACAGACCTGAAGAAAGACGCAGTACACAGTTTGAACATTGGAAGGCTCAGACAGAGTTTATAGAAACACACACAAGCGCACACACGCACAGTGAAGATAAGTACTACAGACTGATGTAAATGTGCATCGGTACCTCGCTGAGCTTATAGTCAGCTCCCAGGTTTTGCTCATATTCGCTGCTGGTTTCGGCGCGCAGCAGCTTCACGCTGCCGTGGTATTTTGCAGTAGGTACATATGCATCAGCAGCCTTTAGCTTGTAGTAGAAGGCGGAGGCTGCAAAGTGCAGTGAGTCTCGGTCGATGTCCTTGTGAGCGGAGGTGATTAGGTCCACGGCCACACTGACGCGTGCATTCAGGTCTGACAGCGGGAGCAGAGTCTCCAAAAGCTGTAGGATGTAACCATGGAGACGACTGTAAGTTCATAGCAAACGTTACCGCGTGCTCGCGGAGATATTGTGTCAGGGTCCTGGGACTGGGCGACCCAGGATCCCTGAGCAGTCATGTATTATATTATTATTATTATTATTATTATTATTATTATTATTATTATTATTATTATTGCTGTGTATTTTGGTGTTGCTCCCCCTTCCCTGTGCTTGTGTATATGTGTGTGTGGGTGGCTGAGCACTTGTTTATAGGCGGCGTCAGGCCTGGAGGGTGTGGCCCTGCAAGGGGACTGGCCACACCCGAAGCCACACACCTGCTGCTGATCAGGCCTCGTCGGGGGAGCTACTTAAGAGAGTCTTGGAGCTCCCACCCATGCGGGATCATTGCTTGGGACTCCACGTTAGTTACCCAGTTTAGGTTTGGTCGTGTAGTGTATGCCTGCCATTGTTCAGTGTCCTGACTGCTGCCGCTATTGTTTCCTGCAGGAGGAGCGTGGAAGGCTTAACGAGCAGCGAGCACCGGGAGTGCAGACACGGGAGCAGAGAGCACTTGGAGGACACGACACGGGAGTCTGGGGAGAAACACGGGGATTTATTGTTGTTTGATATCACCCTCTGTAAATAAACACTGTCTATACGTAGAGCACCGCGCCTGGGTCCTCCTTCCCCACTCCTTCCACGGTGTGCCATGCCGCACCGTGACAGAATGATCCCGCCACTTATGGACCCAGCGGTCTCCGAGGAGAGGCTCAGGAGGGAAATTATGGACAAAGTGTACCGCATGTGTGAATTATGGTGGGAGAAGCCTGCGGAAGGTTTGCGTCACGCCGTGGAGAGGCGGCTGCAGGAGATGCTTTTTGAATTCCCCTGGCTGGTGGACTCCCTTAATGCGGTGGTCCTGGACTTCCTACTTTCCACCCTCCACCTCCACTCTCCTCCTCAGGCTGCCCACCAGCTCGGACAGCTGGTGGATTCACTGCCTGAGACGCCGGCCCCGACGCCGACACGGAAACTACGTTCGCGCCGCCAGCGTTCCTTACCGCAGCTAAATCCACAGACATCTCAACAGCCGGCTGTGGTGAGTCATATGGACAATTCATCGTCACTCACCTCGACTGTTTACTCTGGGGCTATGTTTATATGGTCAGCTGCCCAGCCGGTAGCCAAAGCGCAGCCCGCGGCCCAGCTGGTCGCTGTACCTCAGCCTATCGCCCGGCTAGTGATCCAGCCGTCACCTGCTGAATTATCCCCCGCGACATCTACCTCACCGCTTACCGTTTCATCCTGTTCACCATCCACATCACACGCTCAGCCATCTTCTCCACCAGCAGCAGCCTCCATTCCACTGCCCACTCCAGCGGCCTTGTCCGGAGAGAGCGACCTCACCTGCGTCCAACGCCTGATGGACTGGGTAACTCACACCACCAACACAAGGGCAAGAGTGGTGGGGTTAAACGCCATCGAGGCAATCCTGGAGGGAAACCCCTACCTCGGCCAGCTCAAGGGAGTTTCCGCCTGCCTTTGCACCCTGCATAAAGCCCGGGGGGTAGTGCAAGCTCGGGAAACCTCAGACTTCGTCCAGCTGCAGCAGGAGCTCAGCATGCCCGAGCAGGAGCTCAGCGAGCCGGAGGAGCCCGCACCGTCAGCTGAGGCGCTCAGCGAGCCGGAGGAGCTCAGCATGCCCGAGCAGGAGCTCAGCGAGCCGGAGGAGCCCGCATCGCCAGCTGTGGAGCTCAGCGAGCCGGAGGAGCTCAGCATGCCCGAGCAGGAGCTCAGCGAGCCGGAGGAGCTCAGCATGCCCGACCAGGAGCTCAGCGAGCCGGAGGAGCCCGCACCGCCAGCTGAGGAGCTCAGCGAGCCGGAGGAGCCCGCACCGTCAGCTGAGGCGCTCAGCGAGCTGGAGGAGCTCAGCATGCCCGAGCAGGAGCTCAGCGAGCCGGAGGAGCCCGCACCGCCAGCTGAGGAGCTCAGCGAGCCGGAGGAGCTCGGCATGCCCGAGCAGGAGCTCAGCGAGCCGGAGGAGCCCGCATTGCCAGCTGTGGAGCTCAGCGAGCCGGAGGAGGAGCTCGCTCGGCCGGAGGTCAGCGGACCGGAGGGACCTCCACGTCTAGCGCGGCCTCCTCGCCGTCCACGTCCGGTGCGTCCATGTCAGCGATCGGCGCGTCATGGACCTGTTGCCACGCCTCGCTGTTGCTCACCGTAGCAGCGACGTTGCCACCGGACCCGTGGCAGGCCACCGGAACCGTTCCACCGCCACCGGACCCGTGGCAGGCCGCCGGAGGAGCAGCGCCGCCGCCACCGGACCCGTGGCAGGCCCCCTGAACTGTTTTGCTGCTGCCGCCGGACCCGGGGCCGTCCGCCGGAGCTGCTACGTCGCCGCCGTTGGGCTCGAGGTAGGCCCCTGAACTCTCTTGTTGTGTTGATGGGCCGCCTGTGACTGTTTGTGGCGTCTTTTCGTTTTCTTTTTGCACCGCTGCGGGATGCGCGGTCTGACTCTGAGACTGTGGACTGGGTCGGTTTGTTGTTTTGTTGTTTTTGCTTGTTTTGGTTCTGGCCCTCCGTCCTGGTTCCCCCAGCCGCCCGCCCTGGGTTGGTTGTGCTGTTTTGGTTTTGGGTCGTCGGGAGCCGACCCTTAGGGGGGGTACTGTCAGGGTCCTGGGACTGGGCGACCCAGGATCCCTGAGCAGTCATGTATTATTATTATTATTATTGTTATTATTGTTATATTATTATTATTATTGTGTATTTTGGTGTTGCTCCCCCTTCCCTGTGCTTGTGTATATGTGTGTGTGGGTGGCTGAGCACTTGTTTATAGGCGGCGTCAGGCCTGGAGGGTGTGGCCCTGCAAGGGGACTGGCCACACCCGAAGCCACACACCTGCTGCTGATCAGGCCTCGTCGGGGAGCTACTTAAGAGAGTCTTGGAGCTCCACCGATGCGGGGATCATTGCTTGGGACTCCACGTTAGTTACCCAGTTTAGGTTTTGGTCGTGTAGTGTATGCCTGCCATTGTTCAGTGTCCTGACTGCTGCCGCTATTGTTTCCCGCAGGAGGAGCGTGGAAGGCTTAAGGAGCAGCGAGCACCGGGAGTGCAGACACGGGAGCAGAGAGCACTTGGAGGACACGACACGGGAGTCTGGGGAGAAACACGGGGATTTATTGTTGTTTGATATCACCCTCTGTAAATAAACACTGTCTATACGTAGAGCACCGCGCCTGGGTCCTCCTTCCCCACTCCTTCCACGGTGTGCCATGCCGCACCGTGACATATTGTTGTTTTCAGAAAAGTAAGTGACACATAATTAATGAACATCACAGATCTTATGTATATGAAAATGCAAAATGAAGATGTTTTGATATTCAGGAGTTACAAATGTCAGCTTTCAGTGAGAAACTGTACGAAGGTTTGATTTAACCGCATGTTTTACTTTAGTCTCCATAACAGCTCCAAACATCACATCATTGTTGAGTCAAACCTGCACCACACACAGACTGTGCTGGAACAGCAGCTCCAGACTGTGTTACAGTCACCATCTTTACCTTACAGGCGCCGTGAGGCAAAAGCTCAGGTTGTGTGGCCTTTAACGCTGATGCCACATAAAGGAATACTTGTGTGTGAACCTGTGGGTCAGAGACAGTATACCTTGTTGTATTCAATGCCAGTGAACTGCTGGATGAAGGCACACAAGGCTTCAGTCTCAGCCTCAGACTCGTTGCCGGGTGTTAGCTTGGCTCTGTAGCTCTGCAAATCAAAAACACAGTTAAACCTGTTCACATGCAGATCATGTGACCAGAGCTCATCCTTCAAAACCAACATCACACACGCTATACAGCATATACATGAAATAAAGATGCGCGAGTGTTTCTCTGACCTGTGTGTACGCTGCCACATATGAATGTGAGCCATCAAAGAGAAACAGGAACTCCACAGGCTGATTCTGGGTCTGCAGCTGAGAGCACATTTCAAATGCTACACAGGCACCAGAAGAATATCCAGCGACTCTGTACGGGCCGTCCGGCTGCACCTGCCTGATGCAGCTCACGTAGTAGGCAGCCAGGGACTCAATGCTATCCAGAGGAGCAGCTGCAAAGGAAACACATGAGGGGAGTTAGTTTGGCTGCACAGTGACATAAACAGCTGATGCACAACATGTGAGTGACAAAGGTCTGAGAACAGAACCACAAACTTTTAAACTGTGAAACAAAGAAAACATGAAATCACATCAGGTCTTTGGGTTTCCTCAGGCCATTATGGAGGGAGCTGTATATGTACAAGTGTTTGTAGTTTCACCTTTGAACAGTCAGACTTTCAGCTTTAACACATTTTGCTGTTTAACAGTTACACACGTTTTGATACACATGATTGTGACACCTGGTGAGGACGCACACTCATCATTTGATGACAAGTAAGGACACGTAGTTTCCACGATGGTTCAAAGTGTTGATTTTGTGTTTTAAAGTTTTTCTCTGTGACTGTAAAGTCATTTTAATATGAGCCCCATTATGCTGACAAACCCACGCAGACGATGCACACAGCTCAGCAACACCAACAAGCCTGAAAGTCAAATGACATGAAAAGTTATCCATGAGGCGCCAAAACACAACAACAGCTGCAGCAAAGGCTCTTTGTACTGTAAGATGAAGATCCTACAAAAGTAGAAGCCTCACAAACCACATGTAGACTGGTTGTGCAAACTCCCACAGACCCTGCAGTCGAGAGGATAACAAGCTGCTCCAGTGATCATGACCAGGACACAAACTGCTTCCTCCTGAATCAGAGGCCTGACTGACAGACACACCCTGGCATAGAGGAGGCTGAGGAGTGTGACAGTTGGAGCACACGCTCAGGTCTAGGTCTTTAAACAGGGGAACCACCACCCCAGTGTGCCAGTCCAGAGGCAGCATCCCAGAGCTTCACGCAGCGCCGTGTCAGCCAGGACGGCCCTGCAACACCCAGATCCTTCTCATCAGCCTCAGGTCTGTCCTAAATCCTAGCAGGAGCTACCACGACGCGTACCACAAAATGCATCGCACTGGTTCTTCCCAGTAGTTGGAACTGGTTGTCTGCTTGCCAATGAATCCTGCTTATTGGTTCCACTTGTGCTACAATCAGGACGAATTGTAGTGGGTTAGGGTTAGCTGGATATGTGCTGGATATGTGGTGGAGGGTAACTGCAGGAGAAGAAGCTAGTGGGGGAGTAGAGCAGGGGAGGATGTGGGTCCCCGGGGCCTGCTGGAGGGCAAGGGCCATGCCCGATGTGAGTAGCAGCAGGGCCAGTGCGCCCAGGAGCACATCTTTTTCGACCGTAAGGGAGACAGGAGGCCGACTCACTGCCTCGGCTAAATGGAGAGGGAATTTCAGAAGGGCCAGGGCACAAGCATGGACCTTTTTCAGCTGTAAGGGAGACAAGAGCAAGGTGTGACGTAGGTCCCCGGGGCCTGCTGGAGGTCCAGGTCCACGCTCGATTTGAGTAGCAGCAATGGCCAGTGCACCAGGAGCACATCTTTTTCGACTATAAAGGAGACAGGAGGCCGAACAGGTCTCTGACCCTTCAGCATAGACAGGTGGCTGAATGGGCCCCTTGGGCCCTCCAGCCGAGACAGACAGCTCAAACGGGTTCCTCTGACCCTTCAGCGGAGACAGACACCGAACCAGCATGTGTGGAGACCTCTGGCAGTGTGGACACTGGCTGGAGCTTAGTGGCACATTGGCTTGGCTCAGGCAGTGGTATGCAGTCCTCAGAGGGCTGAAAGTGTTCTCCAACACATCCAGCAGAGGACAGAGGACTCTACTAAAAATCCGACTCTACTAACCTATCAGAGGCTGCTTAAGATCAGAATGCAATCATCTGCAGTTTTCTTCTTAATTAACAATAAACTTAGTGTATATGTACTCCTAAATTTGATGAAAGTGATAAATAATAGACAGCTCTCTCTCTCTCTATATTCTGACATTTAACTAATTCAAAAGATATTTCAATATTTATTTATCTAAAACAAAACAAGTTAGAATAGCCTTTATTGTCATTGTACAGAGTACAACGAAATTGGAGTGCCACTCCCTTGGTGCAAGTTTCAATAATAAATATAAATGTAAAATATAAAAAGTACAAAAAAACAATCGTAAGTACTCAAACAATAGTTTGTACAATATATACAGGATAGCAGCATTAATATAATGACAGTATGAATAGCAGCATAATATAATGACAGTGACGGTATGGAATAGGTTCAATTGTTTTTGTTCTTATTTACTACGGTGATAGCTCTGGGAAAGAAGCTATCCCTGAATCTGTTTGTCCTGGTTTTATGTGACCTGTACCGTCGGCCTGACGGTAATAGTTCAAACAGTTGGTTGCTGGGGTGAGAGTAGTCCTTGATGATATTGCCAGCTCTGCTGAGGTACCGAGAGTTTGCAGTGACCTCCATGCTGGGCAGAGAGCAGCCAGTGATCTTCTAGTTGCAAGTTCACTCTAAATTGATGTTTAACAGAAAAAAAAAATGTTTTTATGTTTTTTCCCTAAAGTGTATGTAAATATCTGGTTTCAGCTGTGAATATACTGCTGTGTATTGAAATTCCTCTTGTTTTGCATAGAAATATACTGAACAACATACAAAGCATAATATATAAAATAAAATCTACCTGAGTTTTTTCTTTGAAAGAAGCCACTTATGTCAATTGTTGTGTTCATCAGTACATAACTGAAACTGATTACAGTGCTTTGTTTAGCCGTGGAGGGAAACAACTGAAAATATGAAATAAACACACATGTAAGCTAAGACTCTCTAAAAAAACATCATTGTTGTTGTTCGGATTTTCATTTCCCCATTTGTTGATTCACTCCAAGAGCAAGTAACGTAATATGGGTCAAGTGATCAGTTTGATATCAATCTTTTGTGATACACCGTCATATTTACATTATTTGTACAGTATGAATGATTTGCTTTGGTACCTGGTCAAACTTAAGCTCTCCTCTGTCTGCCTGTCTACGCTTCTCCTGCAGCAGTTTCTCCCCCCTCGCTCACATGCGTAAGTGCTATGCTCAGTCACCCAGTGCCTGAGCTCAGATCATACCAAAATTAGGGTGAATTTACGACTGTGCGCTATGTGCTTCGAATATTGTGTGTAGTTTTTTGTTTTATACAGTTGGCAGTCAGGCATCAGTAACAAAATCACCAGGCTCACAGATTCACAAGAAATTCATTTGGGCTTAGAAGGAATAAAACAAAGAGAATCCTTAATTAAGCTTGCGTTAGATTGCAAAATGGTCCCAGATGAAACAGTCTTAACAACACGAAATGCACAGTTCTTTTGTAAAGGTTCTTTTTATTTGGAAGGAAAAATAAGCACAGACAGAGTCCCCAGAAGTGTCCAAAAAGTGATTTATTAAACACACACAGATATACAGTGTGGGAAGCCGGTCTTCGATCTTCTCTGCTCGTTACAGAAAGCTTTATAGCCTAATATGACGTCAGAACATTTCCTAGAACTCAGCTTCTCAGAAACCTAACACTTTCTCAGGCTTTATGTTCCCAGATATGGATGAGGGAAAACATCTGGTCTAAACAATTGTGTGTCCGAGTGTGCAGTTTGTGAGATTGTCTGTCCAGGCCAACAAAAGGTCGCTGTCCTCATCTGACTTTACTTTGGGCCGCCTGGAGCCACAGAGATGCTGGTGGTTTTTGCATAATAGAATATTACAGAGGAATGTGTCTTATTCTGCGTGCTCTGGAATACAAGATTAAGCAGATTTACTAAATGATAAATGATACATGATAATGGTGATGATCAACTGATACTAAGTGATGCAGACTAATAAAATAATAATGAAATAATGGCAGTGAAATTACATGTTTTTCTTGACAACTCCTCCTCTTGGGCTCGCTTGCGAGCCCAACTTACACCAGGATTTGTCTCACTCCTCCGTCCAGCCTACAATCTCCCTCAAAGGCATCATGGACTCCGGCGCAGCTGAACCTGCTGAGCCTGAGCTCAGGGCTCTCTCCAGCATCTTTACTAAAAGCCGCCGGACCAGAGGGATGAGACAACATCCAATCATCAATATGACAAGAAAAACAACAAAAGAAAACATGGCAGACATAACAACACTCTTCCATTGCCCAAAGACAGACGTGAACCAGTCTCCCGGTCCAGTGTTCACACCTGATTGCTCATGCATGGTTTTAGATAACATTTTCAGACTCTCAAGCGCCCTAGTAACCGTACCGTCTGGTGCAGTATTGTTGGGTATGAACGTGCAACACATGTCCCCAAACATGGCACAGACACCACCTTTCTCAGCCAACAACATGTCCAGGGCCATTCGATTCTGGATTCCCATTAACGACGTCGGGCCTAATTGTTCCGCAAGGCCTTCTACCGCGTCCCTAGTGAGATTAGAGAGTCTCAACACATTATAATGGACATAGTTAATGCGATCGACATTTTTATTCGGAGTTATCCATAGAAACACACTTTCAAAGCCGGCCGCTATCTGATTAACTAACTTATACTCATCTGGAACTCCCCTGGGAACTCCTATTGAGTCAATCCAGGTTGGCGAGTCCCATCTTGGGTCATATTTGTGCATACTGTTGCGAAATCGATCAACTTCAGACCAGACAAAAAACAACGGAGGCTCCGGAAAAGTGCAATCAAACGATGAGTTTTATTATCACAGGAGAACAACCAACTGTCAGCATACAGAATGGGTTGCTCTGACAAAAATACACTGGGTTCTGGTTTTATAGGATAACATATCACACCTACGTCAATACAGTTCAAAAATACAGGGTGACAGATGGACAAAAGTTCAATTCGTGCAAACAAGGGTACATCACATATACTTTTAATAACTATAAACTGACATATAACTTCTCCTTTCTTCATTACTTGCCTTTTAAGGTAATAACTTCAGGTCTTAGCATTTCTGAGAGCTAATAATTGGACCCTCGTCATTAATCACTAAGTAAAGTACTTT